ACCATAAAGTATCTACAGTAAGGCACTGATGAAATGGCCTCGTTTAAATGATATAAGACACATAGCACATACTAAGCACACAGGAGTGTAATAATGTTATTTCCATTCTTTGCCTCTCTCCTTCCAAATTCCTTACCTGCTGCAAACTGAGAATGAGAGTCTTGGCACACTGAATTTTATCAATTTGCCTGGTTTTACTCAGTGTTTCCTTAATAATATCACCGTAGTCATTGTAGTACTGTGAGGAAAAGAAAGTAAATGTACTTTAAAATTATTGAAATTTCATGAGATAAACAATTAGTTGATGAAAGAAAGGAGTGTAAAGAGGTGTTAAATTTCCTCATCTTAAACATAATGGGAGTTAAATAGTATTGTCTAAGTTAAAGGAATACCTATTTGATATTTAAGATTAAGTAGTAATTAATAATAATAAAACTAAAAATCTGGGAATTCCAGGAGAGGAGGTGTGAAAAATTCCTTATTCTTCATAATATAACTCAACAGACACTATCTAAAAGGTAACAAATCAAGAAACAACTTTGGTAGAAACCTCCTGAAGAACTACAACCAGAACAGTTAAAATTGCTTACTTTTGGGTTCCTAAATAGGGGGTAAGGATGGATTAGTATAACAGACTTAACTTTTCATTTAACACTTTGCTTACTATCTCATTGCCCCCTCAACATGTCTATATTTTGCTATTATAACATAAAAAATTAAAACACAGACATCTTCAACAGTGACTCAGAAAAATTATAATTCAGTTTTTTGACATAAGATTGAAAGAATTTTCCTTGTGAGTAAATAATTAGGAAGTTTCATTTGAAACCATTAAATCTGGATATTATTTCCAAGCTAAAGCCTAAAGCCATATGAAAAAATGATTTATATTAGTTTGGCAACTGGATTTTCAAAATCCTCAAAAAGATAGATATGCTTCCATGATATCAGACAATAAAAGGGGAAATAGCTCAAAAGGATCATCCTTTCAGTGCAATGAAGAATTATCTCAACGTATGGTGCATGTCTGTAGTCCCAGCTACTTGGAAGGCTGAGCAGGGAGGACTGCAAGTTTGAGTCCAGCCTGGGTAAAACAGTGAGACCTTGTCTTCAAACAACAACAACAAAAAACAACAACAAAAAACCCTATCTCAATGAAGAACAAAAGAGAAAGATGTATCAAGACACTAAAGTATTGAGCAGGCAGATTTCTTAAGTTCAGATATTTGAACTAATAATCATGTACTGAAGTTGGGGGGAAAGTCACATAGCTGGTATATCAGAGTAGCAAATAGCTATTAGAATACTCACAAAAAAGTATAATGAGCAGAGGTGTACAAAAAGGTCTAAGGATGATAAAAGTTTTTTTTAATAAAAAAAATTTTTTATGAGGAGATACAGCCTTTGGTATAAGATGAAGGTACATTCCCGGTGATAAAACTTTTGAGTAAGACTCACTTCTTGGAGCCAATGCAATATTGTTAAGGGAAAACCAGAACTCAACACATTTTATTCTTCTCTATTTCCTGTTAAAGGAAAAAACTATTAGGTTATTAAGTATGAATGTCCGATTTCCTTAAATACTAAGTTTGACAGTTGATATCTCTGACCTTTCCCTTTGACACGTCTTGTTTTCTTTTTATTGTGAAAGTACATCCTCAGTCTTGCAAATGCACAGTTTGGCTTGTGATTATTTTTCACATTTTTTTTAAGAGCAATTTTTGTGAAACCATAGGTAAGTCAAAAATTCGTGTTATTTTTGAATATGAATTCCATTGTGGAACTGATGCAGTGCCAGACAGCTTGAAACATCAACAAACTGTTTGGGAAGGATGTGGCTAATGAATGCATAGTACATCGATGGTTTGAGAAGTTTCGTTGTGGTGATTTAAATCTTAGATATGAGCCAGATGGACAACCTGAGACCAAGGTGGATACTGATAAGCTGTAGTAGAGGCAAATCTACCTCAACTTACTTGTGAATTTAGCAGCAAGGTTTGATGTAACTATTCCAACAATATTGGACCATTAGAAACAAATGGGTAAGGTAAGCTCAATAGATGGGTACCGCACGAATTAAATGAGAATCAGAAGAGCTGTCATGACACAAAGGTGAACCATTTCCACACTGTATTGTTATGTGTGATAAAAAAAAAAAAATGGATTCTTTTTGACAATTGCTAGCATTCGGCACAATGGCTAGATAAAGATGAAGTGCTGAAACATAGTCCAAAACCCAATATTCACCAAAAAAAAAAAAAAACAAAAAACTAATGGTGTCTGTTGGGCGGTCCAGCACTGGTATTATCCACTACAGCTTCATGAAACCTGGTCAACTGATTACAGCAGATGTCTACTGCAACCAATTGGATGAAATGATGAGGATGCCTGAGATTAAGCAGCCAAGATTGGTCAATAGAGACAGGCCAATCCTCTTGCAAGACAACGTTTGATCACATGTTGCACAATAAACACTGCTGAAACTATAGAAGCTGGACTTGGAAACTCTCTGTCATCCACCGTATTCACCAGACCTTGCACCAACTGACTACCACTTCTTGCAGGCTTTGGACCACTTCTTGCAAGGAAAAATATTCAATTCTCAAGGAGTTGTGGAAAACACCTTTTGTGATTTCATGGCCACTCACTCTCCAGGCTTCTTCGCTGCTGGCATAAACAAGCTACCCTTAAGATGGCAAAACCAGTTGGGCGTGGTGGCTTGTGCCTGTAATCCTAGCACTCTGGGAGGCCAAGGCAGGAGGACTGCTTAAGCTCAGAAGTTCGAGACCAGCCTGAACAAGAGCGAGACCCCATCTCTACTAAAATAGAAAAATTAGCCGCATGTTGTGGTGTGTGCCTGTAGTTCCAGCTACTTGGGAGGCTGAGGTAAGAGGATCTCTTGAGCTCAGGAGTTTGAGGTTGCAGTGAGCTACAATGACACCACTGCACTCTACCCAGGGTGACAGAGCAAGACTTTGTTTCAAAAAAAAAAAGATGGCAAAACTGTGTCGATAGTTTAGGAGCATATTTCAATTAATTATACTGCTTCTTGTTTGAGATATCGTAAACAAAACTTATTTGAAATTGGATGTTTCATATTTAATGACCTAATATATAAAAAGAGTAACATAAACACCTTAAAATGGAACTGAGATCCAGGTCTAGTGAGCAGATAATGAGGGCATCAAGTCATTCCAAATGAATGTTTCTTAGGCCAGATGAATCATGTCCTAAGAAAACTTGCACAGATTATGGAACACTGTGCTCTTTAAGGAATGGTGAAAAATAGAATAAGTGCTAGAGGGAGATAGATAATAGTCCTAAATAAACAGAGACAGATAATCATAGTTCTAATTTTAGAAAGGGAAAGAAGGTCATATGGAAAATTAAATAGCTCTTCCCCACAAATGCCTAGGATCTACCCTAAATATTCAGGGAATCAGGAATATGTAATTTGGAATAATGCTCTAGACGACTGATGCAAAATCAGGATAAAGAATGACTATTCTGAACAATATATCAGTCAGTTTGATGTTGAATGAATCTAAGACTACAGAATACATCATTAAAAGCAGTGCTTGTGAATACTCAGAAATGAAATGGTCACTAAGAGCAAGCAGAAGTTTCTTTCTTTTAGAATGGTTCAAGAGGCAAATATGACAGTCTACCTGCATATCAATAAGTAGTTTGACAAATTATTTCATGATTTCTTTGTAGAATAAATAGAGAAAAATGAGCTGAAACAGAATAGCAGTTACTTTATTAATAATCCGTAAGCTCCTTACGGCAGAAATCATGTGTTCTTTAACACAGTGATTGCCACACTAGAAAAAGAATTTTTTTCCTTGGGGCCACGGTGTTTTATTACGAAAGTAGAATAAAAACTTCAAAAACAAAATGATCCTTTCTAATTTACTGAAAAATTTGTTATTTTTTATTGTTTTCTGTGCGTGAGTTATATGCAACCTGAAAAATAGTTCTCAAGGCTCCCAAAGTGAAGAGATGTGAGTTACATATGCTTCACAAGGCCCTGGGCTCAAAACTAGCATAAGTTAAATATAATTCGCATGGCAGTTAATGTGTTAAACCTCGGGCTACCAGCACAGTGCTCACCACATGGCAGTTTTTCAGGAGAATATGATGAATTAGCTATACTATATCATAGCTGGAATTGGACCATTCCCAAATATGGATGAAGATACAAGTAGATCAAATGGCACACACAATATTCTGTATATGGACAATAGAGAACATTCTTTGTGACATAAGCACAAGGCAAATACAGGAAAACTGAGAAGTGTTCACTCCTTTCTGTGCCTGTTAGGCCACACCATTAAGAAATTTGAGCACTGCTTTTTCAGAGGGTCAGGAACAAAATGGAGCTTATAAAAATGAAAACAGCCAGAAAGTGAGTATATTCTTTCATATAAATGCTAGGAACTTAATGGAATTGATACAACGGCACAGACTAATAAAAAAAACTTATATAAAAGAGAGAATTTTTTCCAGAAAATCATCCACATTACATAGATAAAAGCTGTCAATTTTAGCTTCTGTCGTCATTATCATTTCATTTTAATTGCAAATTTCTCTGCCATTTAGATGGAAGGAGAAAATAAGAATACGAAACTATACCTTCATGTAGTGTTTGAAAATGTCTGCAGCTGCATGCATGTCAACAATGTCATAAATGATAAGTTTGCTGAAGGCAGCAAGTAGATTCCTTCTTTTATGTAAGGCTTCAATTTTATTAGCTTCATCTTCTTCATCACCCTCTAACCACAGAAAATAAGTTCGTTATAAATTTTATCACTTTATTCAAGTAAAACAGTGCAGACAATCTGTATAATTGAAAACTAGCTTAATATTATAACTTCATAAATAGGTACAATTCAGTTACTGATGGGAAAAAATCTTACTTATTAATTGAAAAAATCTTACTGATTAATTATTTTTGGGTGCTACATTTAGTTACACATTTATCAAACACTTAGCAGGCACTAAAGTTATCTTCTAGGGAGACCATCATAGCAAAGATTGAGTAAGATAAGCAAACTATATAGTCTCCCCTCCATATCCACGAATGTGGAACCCTTGGATAGGGAGGGCCGACTGTACTATGCCATTTTATATAAGGGACTTGAGCATCCCTGGGGGTCCCTGAACCAATTCTCCACAGATACCAAAGGATAACTGTATAAAAAAATTGTTTTTCTGATACTTTTGTCATAATAGTAAGATAGCTATTTAAACATGCTGTCTTTTCTTATTTTAATATTCCTTATGTGGTAACATACTTCCACAGAGAAGGAAATCTCTGAAAAATTTTAAGACACAGGGAAAAAATTTTCTTTTACAAAAATATTTGGGGGAGTAATGGAAATATATGGAGCAAATAATTTTTAGTGCTTGTCCTAACCATGCTTACATTATCAGATGAGAAATAAAATATTTTACAAACCATGTTATGCACATATAAATTTTTTTAAAAAAATCCTATCAAATACTTTCAAAACAAGTAGTGCTTCTTCCTCAAATCTTTTAGTTTCAGACTCCACTGGGTTGCCTATTTCTTATTCTAGAAAAAATTTTCCAACAAGGCTTTGGATGATAACATTTATTTCAGGCTCTGTACTGACACCCTCATTTCCTGGCCTGCCCTTATTTGGGGTGAGCTTTCTTCTCTTCTTCACATGTACATATTCATAAAAGAACTTAATCTCAATCTCTTTCTTTCCTTCCTATTATTTAGTCCTATTGTAAACCATCAGTGCTTTGAGACGTTGGAAATCTTTTTGCTTAAGATAAGTGGCAGATAAATTTTGTCTCCTGACAAATATAATATAAATATAATACAGACTCTAAATAAACACACTGTTTCACAGTCTAGTATTTACTAAAATATTCTCTTAAGAATATTCTAATAGCACCAAATAGATCTGTGGATCAGACATGCCTTTTACATTATTTTAGAGAGCTTAGTCATCTATTTACAAATAACCTAAGTGACATTTATTTATAACTAATCGTTAACAATTCAGTCTAATTTTGCTAACTTATTCTGGAGGCTCAGCACAATTTTGACTAGTGAGGTTTGATAATAGTCTTTCAACATTTAATATCTTACAGTTATATTTTGTTCATTTAAGTAATATACAATGACCACTGAGGAATAGAAAGGAAAATGGATGCTTTCCCTTAGAAAAATTATGAACCTGGACAATCAATTAGAAACAACATCTATCCTACATATACATTTGTACATGTGGGAAATGACGAATGTACACAATTAGTCATCATAGGATAGTTTATAGTAGCTAAAGATTGGAAACTAGCCATGTCAATCAGTGTAAGATGGATTATATAAATTATGCTACATCTACACAAAGAAATACTATGTAGCTGTTAGAAAAAGACTGAGGAAGCTTTCTGTGTCAATGATAGGAAAAAATCTGAGGTACAAAATTGAAGGAGGGAGACTTCACTATGTACAGTTTTATTCCTCTTGGTTTCTGAATTACATGAATATATTACTATTAACTTTTTTAAAAGAAAGAAATCCGGTAAGTTTTAGGATTGAATTTGATTTTTTTTCTCCCCTCCTATCTTTTGGGGTTAGTAAAACAAAATCAATATTGATAAGATGGTAGCTACACATACCCATGCTCTGGTTCTCCTCATCTTGGTCAATGAAAACGTGATCCATTACGAAACTGAGGAGTTCAGACTGGAGTCCAGTATCTGGATTAAACACCAAAGGCTGAAGGCCCTCTCTGCCACCTGTCATTAATTGGTGGCTAAAAATCATCAAAAGATCACAGAGTAACATGAAAGCCTGGAATGCAAAGGGAATCCATCAAAAAAATATTGTTCATCAACAAAATATTATAAAAATATAGATATAACAAATCAATGTTAATGACAACATATCAAATCAAAACATGGTTCAAGAGCAGTACCATAACATAAATTTTAAGTACTGAAATTACAACTAGGTAGTTTTAATTTCCAAACTTAATAAAATTACTTTTTCTCATTAAACACTTCTCATATTTAAGATTTTTCTTCCCCCTAAATTATAATCTTTCACTTGGCTGTATTAACTCAAAAATAGCTGATTAAGATATTTTGACTTGAACTTTTAAAAATGAGTTTAATTCAACCCTTAAAACACAAAATTGATATAACAGATTATGACAGAGGTTAGAAATCAATTATATGCTGCTTAATCAAATAATTAGCGTAAGTTTTAAGACAAATTACAATTCAACAAATTATAATGCAGTAATACAAATCTGTAAGCTACTATTTGGGATTCTTTTTAAAAAATCTAATATAAAAAATTTCTAATACAGTCATGCACCACATAATGACATTCTGGTCAATGATGGACTGCATATACATGACAGTGGACCCATAAAATTATAATGGAGCTTAAAAATTCCTATGGCCTGGTCACACAGTAGCTACGATGACCTCGTAGTGTAATGTATAATTCATGTGTTTGTGGTGATGGTGGTATAAACAAGTCTATTACGCTGCCAGTCATATAAAAATATAGCATATACAATTATGTGCAGTACATAATACCTGATAATGACTATGTTACTGGTTACATATTTACTATACTATACTTTTTTATCATTATTTTAGAGAGTACTCCTTCAACATATTAAGAAAAAGTTAACCGTAAAACAGCCTCAGGCAGGTCCTTCAGGAGGTATTCCAGAAGAAGGCGTTGCTATCGTAGGAGATGACAGCTCCATGTGTGTTACTGCCCCTGAAGACCTTTCAGTGGGACAAGATATGGAGGTGGAATACAGTGATACTGATGATCCTGACCGTGCATAGCTCTAGAGTAAAGTGTGTTTGTGTCTTAGTTTTCAACAAAAGTTTAAAAAAGTAAAAA